AATTGCTTTCGAAAATTTCATATTTTATTTAACTACCAGCCTAATTTGTAAACTTATTATTCAAGATGATTTATGGAAAAACCTACATGGCAGTTTCATTGTGAAATTTTAAAACTATTTAAGTTGAACACTTTTGCTTCTTCTGATATGTATTTATAATGCTTGTGCTACTATGTTAAAATAGCTTTTAATGCATTTATTTTCACATCGTATCATAATAAGATGTTAAAGTTTTCACTGATAATGTTTTTGTCATGTGAGCTTACGCTTTTCTTGCAATTATATACAAACTAATAAAATTAATCCATTATTTTTTGGCTTTAGTAATCTGTATCTCGTATTGTATCATAGTGATCGAAATAAGCAATATGGCGTTAGAAAGATGAGATTTCGTACTAAAAAAATATCAATATTGTTTGAGCATGTGTCAAAGGTGGACACCAGCAAAGAAAAAATAAGCCACATTTTATAGTTTTCTCATCGATGAACGCTAAAACGCATGAATCTGTCGGGAGCTCACAATAAACTCTTGCTTCAGACTTCCAGATCACTGTTAAGCAGGAATGGTAGCCATCAAGGTAGCAGCAGATGTACTTCTCCGAAGTGCGGCGCAGCTGCTATACAGGCCTTGAGCTCGCTGACGGTAGTGATACTACTTAAACTTGTCTGGGTGCCTGGCCAAAACGGAATCGTCGGAAATTGTAAAGCCGATGAGCTTGCAAAAAACGGCAACCATACCCAAATTCCATCAGGATGAGAGCGAGCAGGGTTTCCCCTAAGTTCGTGCATTCATGTGCTGGATCTATGGCCTTCGCGCTATCTCAGCAAGAGTTGGTCAGCAATCAGCACTTGTGGGGTTCCGAAAGTCTTCTGGTCCAGAGTGAAACGTTATGGCAAGCTCCAGGCATTTTTCGATATGCGACGGTCTTTTTAATTCATATCCAGGAGTTTTGGGCATCACAACGGACATTACGGATTATTCGTGGTCTCAGGAGAAATCAGTCTATATACCTAATGTAACCTAACGTTCCTTATACTGTCATCAGGCATAATTTGGTTAGGTTCTTTCGTCCCGACAATTTTGATTTAAAAGATGTACTACGCTTTGAAAGAACGATTATCAAATAAATAAATACAATATTGCAAATCGTCGAATGTGACCATCATGTAACCACTCAGGAGATAGACATTGCACAAATAACCTTGGAACTATTTAAATAAGGCTGAATACAGGGAAAAGGTGTAAACCGTGGGAAAACTAGTCAGGATGGTTTTGCTATGTGTTTGGTGATATTGGCTGGGAATTGTCTATTATGAGATGCTCCACTATCGCCAAACCCTTAATTCTCCCAGAAGTGACCAGCTTTGGCCAATAGGAGAAGAATTGTGTTCCACCAGTACAACGCCAGGCACATGTATATTGAATCGCCAGATGTTCCGAGAGCTTGATTGGGTGGTTCTTATGCATCCACCTGACAACAAGTGTTTACTACATGTTCCTGCTTATACCGAATGATTTTGCTGCTGAAAAAATTCGCCATAATAGAAGCTTGTGAAAATCAACTTAATGCGTAGTAGTTCTTATTATCACACTGCTTCTTCCATAAACAATAAATACTGTATATTTCAATTAAATTAACATGAATATTCGGAAGTTAATTCAATTAGTTAAGTTCCACACCTTTTATAAAATTCAAGACATGCACTCTCTTGTGCGAATTGCAATGAATGTGACTTGCAAGAGAGATTAGAATTAACAAATCACTACTGGCACACAGCCAGGGAACTGTAAGTGTAAATGAAAGGCTAAAGTTAGTTTTGTGATTTTAATAAAATTAGTTCAAACATATTATAAAATGTGTTAGATATATATGTATGTTGAAAAATCAAAACAATTTCGTTAAAATTGTAATAAAGTTGTTAGATAGAGTGAAAACTTGAGAAAACTGCCAGATGCTTTCATACAAATTTAATCTTGTAATTCAAAAGCTGCGTTTTCAAATGAGATTTGTTTGCGTTTGTGGCAGTTACAGAGGTAATTAAAAGCAACGCGCTTGATTTTGCTGCTTATTTGCTTAATGCGTGTTTGGGCGTACGAGCTGACAGCCGACGGTGGTAGTGAAAAGTCGTGTCAAATTAACTGTATGGAAAGAGTCGGTATGTAACTGCATATACATATGTACATTTGTATGCTGCACAGTGGGCTGGGCGAGCAAATTTTTTGTATAAAATCCACGTAGCTCAATTTGGCTGTCTGGATTGGTGATAGGGAGAGTTTGATCTTTCAATAAAAAATATAGTGTGTTTTTTACATTTTACGTTAGGAGCTTCTCGTTGGGATATATACGAGTATAATCTCATGCTTCTTTTCATTATTTCGAGTTGTTAAAAACCACTTACATGTGAAAAACTATTATGGTCATCGGTAATATTTCTCTGGACCTTAATTAAAATAAATTATTACTTAGTCGATTAAGCTACGTCCGACTCTCTGTACACGGGAACTTAGTTTCTTAATTTTTGAGATATCGATCTGAAATTTACACGCACACCTCGTTTTCTTTCCAAGAAGCTGATCATATGACGGAATCACCGATATCGGACAACTATAGCATATAGTTGACATACAAACTGGATAATTAAACTATATTCATTGTATGTAAAACGTTTTTATTTGTCAAGGTCTCATCGTGAAGTTTGGCATGGATTTTTGGTCAAGACAGCGCTATAACCTTCGAAAAAATTGTTCATATCAGACCCCAGACAAACTGACCAATGAGTATCAAGTACTTGTGTAGAAAGTTTTTTTATTTGACAAAATATCTTAACGAAATTTGCCATGTTTTGTGTGATATTATCCAAGGCAACGCTGCAATCTCTGAAGATATTGTTCAGATCGAATCACTCACTATAGCATATACATACAAGTAGCTGCCATATAAACTGCCTGATCAAAGTCAAGATAAAGAAATTGTATACCGTTTCATGCAAGTAATTTATTAAGTAGTAAATTTTGCCCTTTTCTTCCGCCCCTACATTCATGCGGCAACTTATTCCATCCAAATATATCATAAATATGTACTGTAAAGTAATCATGACATAAACTCGTACATACCTATACCATGTACATATAAATATAGTATGACCTGTATTGTTTGTTTCAGAGAAAAGTCGCAGGATTGAATGAATTCTTTGTTGGTGTGCACTTAAAGTAATGAAATATTGCGTGGCACTGATTCCGTATTTACATTTACATACAACCGTAGAAAGTAACCTATAAAAACTGAGATTACTACAGCTAATCGCATTTTTAATAATTTTATGGTGAAAGAGAGAGTTTGAACTGTACTGTTTGCTTTTGCTTGAGAAAACGCCGTGAAGATACTAACTGGTACTGCTATCTTTTAACTTTTTGTATGGAGTTAAATCTCACTCTGCCTTTTTATCTAGCTCTATCTTCTGTTTTCTCTATATCAGTCTCTTTTTATCCTTTCCTTTTTTCTAAGTCTCTATCTATTTCTCTCCTTTTCTATCCGTAACTATATCTTCCCATCTCTTTTTCGTTGCTTTCCTTTCTATGGACAATATTAACTAGCATTCACCTTCTAACATTTTATTCACATTATTTGCAAATAACTTCTGGACTGAACAATTTCTTTGGAGATCGTAGCGATGCCTTGAATAATAATCTCTATTGACAAATAAAAAAAGCTTTTAGACAAGGACTTGATTTTGATCATTCAGTTTGTACGGCATCTATATGCTTTATTTGTCGCCGATATCTTTCGGTTACGACAAAAGAGGAGCTTCTTGGTTTGACCGATATCTCAAAAACTGGGAGATTATTTCGCGTATATACAGACCGACAGACAGACGGGCATTGCTAAATCGAATCGGTTTGTTACTCTGATAAATTATATAATATATATAGTTTGGGTATTACAAACTTCGTGACAAATTTAATATATCCTGTTTAGGGTATAAAAATATCAAACTTACATAATAGACAAAATTTAGACTTCCATGGGGAGCATAGAAAAAATTTAATAATAATAATAAGACTTAAAGTTTTGTATGCTATCATATATTTCCATAAAATCCACAATGCCTTAGTCAATACTACAACCCACAAATATATATTATAATTAAGCTTGGACACACACCAACCGCCAATGAACTCCTTGTATACAAGTTTTGGGCCACTAATTGATTGCATGTGTGACGTTGTGAGTAAATTTTAGCACGTGTCAGTGCATACTAAACAATAGATTAATTTGATTACGTAGTGATAGCTATAATATAACTATATGTATACATTAGGTATACAGCAAATAGTCATGCTAATATTTGAGTTGGATTTCGTAATGGAAGACACAGCGCGACGTGTTCACTATAAAAAAGCAAATTAAGATTTGACGTAAAATTATTTTATAGCCTACTTGTATATTAAAATTTTTGTACTCTCGCAACATGTTGCTACAGAGTATAATAGTTTTGTTCACCTAACGGTTTTTTGTATCACCTAAAACTAATCGAGTTATGGGTGAAATTGGGTAGCAACTCCGCAAACTACAAAAAGTGCAGTGAATCAAGCACTAAAGACGCCAGAGACATTGAATTTTATCTCTGGGGTGGTATGAGATGACGTTATAGGAACTACGTTCAAAATTAGACAGTGGGCAAACATAACTTTCTCCTCATATTTCTATTTTATAGGGCGAAATCTGATTCTTTCCACTATGAAAATCAAGCAAAATATATATATAAAGAAATCTCAAACGAGTATACCGTTTGACATTGCGAGACTATAAAATGCTGGGTTGCATCCGAACTGAGCCTTTCCTTACTTGTTTATTATAATAAAGACTACTGCAGAAAATTAAAATTATGTATTGTATATATGAATGTGTTTTTTCTTAATCTTCTTTGCAGTGAACGTGAGTACTTATTATAGTTATGGGCAGGGTAAGTTTTAAGTTATATATACTTATCAGTTACAGTATTGTACAACTAGAAAAATGGAAAAAAAGAAAAATGGGAGAAACAAAAAAGGCTTCGACCATTAAAAGCATAGAACTACCACAGAGGAAGCCGATCTCCAGGATGACCTCCGAAAAAAGGTATCTGGCGGTGTGGAACATTTTTCTGCTTAAAAGTATTTCAAATCCAAAAACCAAAAATATGTATTATTAAAATAGATGAATACAGGTAATAATCGAAGAACTAGTAAAAATTTTGATTTTTGATAAAATGGCGGCTTACAAAATAAAATCGTAGTTTCAATTATAATTTATACCTCAAAGTGGCTTAAAAAACCCAAATTACAATAAAAAATCTTATTTTTTCGACTATTACCTGACTAATACCTATATTTAAAAAGGTTGTGTGAAAATTTCAAGTCAATCGGTCGAGCGTTTCGAGAAAAGCGTGTCTAAGGTTTTTGCTACCATTTATATTATACTAAGTTAAAAAATATTATAGCTTATTGTACAAATACGCTTAGATCTTCGAAACGATTTGCCGGCTGAATTTAAAATTTAACGAAAATATTCTCGAAAAGATGTACATTCGATACAATGTAAAAAAATTGATTATTCGAAATTCACAAGAGGACATAACACTTTAAAAAGTTACCAGACAATGGCAATTATGTAAAAAGGTAAATATTTTTCTATTTTTTCAATGTTGGTTCTTAGTCTTCTACGGTCATTGTAATTTGTCTCCATTAATTATAAAAGGGATTGGACCGATCTAATCATAATGTGATAGTAATGGTTATGACGTCCTCAACATTAATGCTCTCAGAGAGACATAATTGATATTAAGTTAGACTAGGTTAGGTGATACTGGCTGGCTGGCATGGCATAGATAGACCTACAGGTCCTTTGTAATACCAGCTGAAAGTTCATTTTACGAGCTAAAGTTTTCGTCGTGCGGGACGTTTGCGAAGTTTAAATGATATTTGATATCTAATTCTGATACTTCATCAACTCCCTTTACTTGCGAAGCTCCTAGATATCTGAGACGAGTTCTAGATGCGGCTGGACAGAAGCATAGGAGGTATTCCAGCGTCTCGCTTATGTCTAACCCTGCATTTTCTACAAGTGTCATTGCTAATAATCCGACTCGCATTTAATGCCAGTAAATTGTGACCTGTAACTGGGTCAACCACCGTCCTGCAGTCTTTTCGAGACCGTGTGAGTAGAAAGCATGTGTCTTTTACTTATGCTTCCTTGCAAATGATCTTGCTAATTCTGTACGCTCCTAAGGCAGTCCATGTCACCGTCTGATCTGTCCGTCATCTCTTTCTGAATTTTCATTGTGTATTGATATATTATTAAGTCCATAGATATCGCTATTAGTGAACTAATTGTGCCAACATTCGACAAATCGTCGTTGAAAATGTATGTTTACTTTCTGTCAACATATAATTATCACCTCGAATATAAAATAAATTTTTTCTGCAATTTACGATTTATTTCACCACAGCAGTTTGGCGCCGAGCCACCTAGCAATATCTTTTAGTGGATTTCCACACACCATTTTGCTACTTGAACGGATATCAATGATACAAATGATGAACGGTGATTTGACTTCCTGCATTGGTTTACCAATTAACTTTTTTTGCGCTAGTATTTGTCGTGTGTGTGCATGTTGGTGAATTTATATGACTTTGCGTTGGCTTGCGGCCAAGTTTGCTGCAGTTGACTTGGCGAATGTCGGACTCATGCAGGTAATTCGTTTGATTTATATGTATATATATATATAATCTGACGTGTGATGTCTACTAAAATCTTTAGTATTCTGGATATTTGAAATAGAGTGATTATTTTACTACTTTTATACTTTATAGGAACTTTGATGCGCTAGTAAAAAGACAGAGAACGAAGAAGGATAGAAAAAGAGTGGGCAAAAAGATAATTGTCTATGTGTCAAAGTGAGAGCATTGACAATTGCTGCTAAATTGCTTCAAAATATTAATGGCTATATTCTAAGGCAATGATTATTATAATCTGTCAATATAATACTTGACTCTAAATCTCTGAAGCAACAACAACTACTAAGAAATGTAATGCACGATGTAAGTATCTGAAGTATCCTTAGCCAGAAAGTTTTCGGTAGATTAAAAATATTCGCATTATATCGCAAAAATCGGGTTTTCTATTCATCTTAAAATTTTTCTTCAACCTCAGCTTTTCGAATGAAGATATTTTGTTATTGAGAATGAAAGCAAAGTGAATAGTGTTCTTACCAATAACAGGTATTGTTCTAATTAACATACAATTTATGATATAAGAAAGTATAAAGCTTTTAGAAACATAATTCATGAAAAACAGAAAAGAATTTCGGAGTGTTAAACCATTTCCATTATATAAAGATCTATTTCATTCGGAATAAATTGAGTATGAACTAAGTTAAAGCTAAAACTTTCCTAGTCAAAATTTATATTCCTGTTTCGAGAGTTGATTCTCTATTTGCTACTGCATTGTAAGAGTAGGCATTAACTACACTTTATCACGAGAAAATTGGTCCATCAGCCAGACAATTAAGATAGTAAGAAACTCGTTAAAACGTACTAAGTTTATTTTAAAGGATTAACAACTGACAGCGTGCTGAAAAGTGTTTTGGTTTTCTTTGCGAAAACTTTCATGTGAATAAAAGATAAAAAAAAACTTCAGTATGAATATATAATTTTATGGTAAAACATAAATATTGAATCTTTTTATTCAATACAATTTATTTTTGATTGAATCTTTGGCGTCTTCGTATAAAATTTATATTTGATATCTGACTTGACCACTTCATTTGTTTAACTTGAGTTTGGTGTGTCAATACTTCGGAGTATACCGTTAACAAGCTTTCTCTAAATTCGTCAAACCATCTTAGAATTTGTTAGATGGATACAATATTTACAAGTATATATGATTATATATGAAAGAGCTACATCTGCGTATAATCACTTCGCAGGCCAAATGTTCGATCTTCACCAATTTTTAAGACTTTTTTGCCAAAATTTTAAGAAGCTCGATAAGTCTGCGGTACTCACCGATTGTTCGACAGTACTTATTTCAATTCAAGTTGCTTTATATTTACATTTCTTCGTGCGACAAGCTTATGGCGAGTAGTTTGCAGGCGTGTTTACAAAACGCATATAAACTGGTAGGCAAAATTTTCAAGCTGTTTCATTAGCCTCTATGTAAAATATTCAGCAATTCATTTTCGGTTTAATAATATTCAGGTTTCTTAATCATTTGCAATAAAAAATTTTGCACATACAAACTCTGCGCTATAAATAAAAATAATAAAAAAGCGTGTGTAACAATAAAACGTGGGTGATAGCATTGCATTGAATATAATGGCGATAAATCTTTATGAGCGAGTACTGTTGCCAAAAAAAAGGAAGCTAGTTGTTTTTCGTCATTCTATTTTCGCATGCAAATTTTATGAGATAAATAAACGATTTCAAAATATTTGGTATGTATTGATTTTAGATCATAAATACTATTTGATTAGTAGTTGTTGCAAAAATATTCATGTTTGGGAGGGAAGGGGTGCTATTTTTGACATATTATATTCATATCCCCACATTTTTAGAACCAATTATTAGGCGATTTGATAAACGTTAGAGAATTAATATCTGCTGTTTACTTTGAATAAAGCACGATATATTACAATATATTTGAAAGGTGGAGTCAAGTAAAATAAAGTAAAAGATTTTAGTAGGTAGCTTCTTCTTCAGCTTTACCATCTAGTGTTACTGCGTCAGCATAGAAGTCGACAGGTTGGTATCATGCCAAAGGAAACTCCATACAACTATTATTTTTTTTAGTATTGTTGAAACCGTTCGGGAAATGTGGTACTTTGGTGAGATAATGTGTTTTCCTCACCTCTAAATCACAGTGTACGCCTTTTAATTTAAAAGTTTTATTTTTTAATTGTGGCAACCCTACTCCAACTTATACAGACTATATTTAATACATAATATATAACATTTTTGAAATATAATTGATTTTTTTGTGTAACCACATCACATGAGAAATTAAAATTTTTTCAATTCTAATTTGGAATAAAGTGGCAACCTCACATATAAAAATCGTGGATAAAATTTTTAAAATGTCTCTTGAGGAATTGTCATTTTTATTGTTTAATTTTAAATCATATAGCAATATTTTCTGAATGAAATACATATGGCAATCTTCTAAAATTGTCTTTGATTTGATAAAACCCTCCAAAATGCTGCGAAATGAATTTATCAATGCCCATTAAATGCATTTGCGTTGTATTCAAGTATAAGAGTTTTCTAAACAATTAAATTTTTTCTCTTCTCAACGTACGAGTATTAACGGTATCTTAAATTATTACCACCAAAGTTCAGCTGACACTCATTGCTAAAACATTGCTAACACGTTGCTGCGATAACTGAAACTCTAAAACTATAAGATTAGTCCCGTTGACAGTTATATATTGCTTTCTTCACAAAAGTGGTAAATAAGAAATTCCACGCGATGCGTGTGTTAAGAAATAAAAATAATCATTGAACACATGTTGGCATTTTAATTTGATCACAGTCTTGTTGGAATGGAATATCGCGTATACGCCATGGTGTTTGTTCGACAATTTTAGTTGCTTTCGAGGCGTTGCGAAGGCGTTTAAAAAATTCTATTGCCAAACAGATTAGTTGAAGAGACAATTTAGTACAACTGTCAAGTTGAAGCATTGCCTTTTGTTTTGGAGTGTGTTCGTTGTGGTTTTTGCTTGAATAAATATGTGAAATTGATTGATTTTACAGTTAAATACTTAAAATCTTGTAAAATTCGCTATTAACAAAATCAAAGAAGTGCTTGAGAAAACTTAAATATCTCAATATCAATAAACTTGTAGTATAGTTGAGTTCACTCGATTACTTGTGCTTATTTTTATTAAATTCTTGAATGGAATTTATAGCCCTTTCGAACTTCACTTACGTGAAGAAAAGATTGGTGGTGAAAATTCATCGAAATCTGTCACTCGCTTTTGAAACTCCATTTTGAGAATATTGCTGAAAACGCCATTTGTGGTGTATGTCTTGGCTAAATTATTAATTTCCTCAATCAAAGTTTCAAACTATCAATAAAATTGTATAATTTTGTATTTTACATAACTAGTTTTTTTCAAATTTTTTTTCTATACCAAGTGAGTGAATGAAAAGTGATTCAAGAAAATTGCATTTTTGAAAAATAAAATAAAGGATATTAAGAGCCACAATTTTCATTTAATATTCTTTAATTATTTCATTACCTTTGTTTTAATTTCAATGAGCACTTCCTTTCAATGACTTTTACTTCATTGCAGTAATTTGATTTAAAAATCGCTATATCCTCAGCTGCTCAAAAGCAATAAAGACATTCAAATTTTGTATATCTGTTTTTTTGCTTCTGCATCATTCACCATCATAAACATGCTTGAACCACCAGCGAGTGAAGTATAAAAAATGATATCACGTACACTTCTTATTATACTGGAAATGCATTCTATTGCTCTTGAGCAGCCGGCACTCAATGTCAGTAACTTTTGCACTGCAATCCAACATTCGCCATTTTTTGATCCTTTTGAAACTCTATGCGACTGTATTGTGAGGCAGTAGGTATGTTAAAATTGGTTATAATGCACACACCCACACTATTTGCACAGTTCACTGAATTGTTGTTGTTGTGAAATTTTACAACAATATCAGTCACAAATGAAACGTTCAGTGGTCAAGTTCGCAAGTTATTGGAAGTCACAATGCCTTCCACTTATTTAAACGGGTATTTATGCCTGTAACATAAGTGTTACTGCAAGCTATTTTCATGGCTTCGCTTTTGTCGTCGCTAAGTGGTTATTATGGCATTTGCATTTCTATGGACATGCTTGGCAGTTGTCCAACTGTGCAGAGTATGAGAAAATAAAAGATTATGAAGAATCGAAATAACATTACCTTATGAATTATACGAATATTAGATTTTAATAGTCCACTCTTTAAGAACTTTGTCGATTGATCTTTTTGGATTCGTAGAAAATACTCGACTATGCTGATAGCATATATCATGGCCTTGTAGTATAACCTCTTCGAAATGTAAATATAACTTTAAACCGTGTATATAATGTTTGTACGGAGGCTTTCTCGTTGTATTGTTGAAACCATAGGGTGTTCTGTTCTATTCTTCAGCAAACAGATAACAGAGAAGATCTAGAAATTGTAACCAGTCAACTTTATTCGTTTAAAATTGTATCTTTTCTTGTATCATAACGGCTGAAGTTCGTGATGCTTCTCCCTTACATATATTAGGTTATTAATCAATATAATCGAATAATAGATTCATCAATAGGAATGCTTAACTGCTGAAGTTAGTCGTAGATACGTGTTGGCTTTTTGTTCTCAACCAAGTAATGAGTAATTGTCATGAAATAATTTTAAGCTGTAAGCTTAAGTAGTACACTACACTCGTTACATGTGGAAATAAACACAGTGTTAGCTCTTAGACATACAAGTTTCCATTAGTCTGAGGTATATAGTATAATCTAGCTGTCTACTAAAGTACTTCAAAAAGTAACAATGAAATATTTGTTAAACAACAAGGGGTTTGAGACTTGAATAATTAATTGAATTACTTTGAATAATAAATCCAAGCATATACTCGTTATAGTTAATTCTTCCATTTATCGATTATAACAGTTCATGGCGCGATAATCTTATAGCAACCTTTGAGCTCAATTTCTTTTCAAACTAAACTAGTAAGATTCTTTTCTAATGGACTCAAAAATAAACATCGATATTAGTTTCCACATAATGCTAGAAACTTTACACACTATTGAGTGCAATATTAATTATTAAAGAGTTGTGCCAAAGTAAAGTTTTATGTCAATAAATTTTTAGCACAAAGTGTGCATTATATATTAACTGCTTGACAAATGGTCTGTACTATTAAATATATATATATGTACATACTTAAGTCCATCCAGTACCTATGCTGACGTTAAGACGTCACGGCATTAGTGTTTACTGAATGGTGAGAAAATGGCACCAATATCAAGCTGCATTTGTGTTGTCAGTTAT